TGCCCATTCTCCTCAGATTTATCCATAGAGTCACTGCAATCCCAGCAAGAGTCCCACTGGACTCGGGTAGAAATTGGCAATCTGGTTCTAAAACTTTATACAGAAAAGCAAAGAACTTAGAATAGTCCAAACAATTTTGAAAAAGAATAGCCAAGTTGGAGGGCTCACACTACCTTATTTCAAGACTTACTGTAAAGCTACTTACCTTAAAGCTATAAAGCAAAACAGTGCGTGATTGGCATATGCATACACAAATGAATAAATGGAGCAAGATAGAAAGCCCAGAAACAGACACAAACATACAGAGGCAGAGGTCTCCTCTGCCTCTATCAATTGGTTTTTGACAAAGGCATCCTTAAAGAGGAGAAAACAGTAGTTTCTCATGAACCAAAAACATCTACCAAGGCCTGCCTTGCCCTTTGAGTAGAGAACACCTGAGCCCTGGAGATGTGTCAGAAGAGGCCAGGTAGCCTTTTGTCCTGAAGAGACTCTTCTTAAATAAAGTGGATCTAGATGTCCAAATTCGCAGCCTTCTGCCCCTGTTCCCAAGCTCGGGGAGGCTGCGGGGAACGTGGGTCACTGTCCGTGGTGCTGAACACGCACAGCTCGCCCACATTCCCCTGCCCTTCCAGCCCGGCTCTCGGGGTAACCACGCCTTCTGGGGCCCCTGTTTTGCTTTGTTGTGTCCTATCTTGAGGCGTTTTTCCTATCTGTGTATACTCTCAAATTTTTGGTGTTAAGTATTTGCTAAATAAAAATGTCAAACATATATAAAATTAGAGAGAATAGTATAACGAATTTCTATGTGCCCATCACCAGTGTCAACTATTAATATTACCGACTCATGTTTCATCAGCTCCCACACACCCAGATTATTTGAAGCAAATTTCATGTATTATATCATCTCACTCCTAAATAGTTCAATATGGATCTCTAGGAGATAAGAACTCTTTGAAAACATATTCCCAATACATTAACACACCTAAAAAATAATGATTATTCCTTAACATCACCAAACATCCAGTTAGTGTACATGATCCGATTTATGGGTGGCATGCCGTGCTCAGAGGGGTAGACGCATCTGTCTGGGAGTACCTCGTGTGGCCAGGACATAGTTTTGAGGCAGATACCCCGCCGGCATCACGTGGCCCAGCTGCAGATTAGCACAAACCAGCCCTCTTGCCACAGCTGATATTGGGCAAGTCTGAGGCACAGGGTGCTGGTTCAGGAAGGTGGTCACATCCGTGGGGTGGGCCTGGAGGACATCAGTGCCCAGGAAATACAGCCTCCAAGCACACTCCTGCCGGGAGAGATCTAGGTCAGGATTAATTACGTTAGGATCTTTGCAGAGGAGTCCTGAGCATCAGTATTTCTACCCAGAATCCTAGTTTCCAGACAGGGTGGAACCACAGCCTGATCTGGCCTTGAATGCTAATGTCACCGTTGACTGGCTGTGCGACCTGAGACAAAGAACTTCTGCTCTCTAAGCCTCAGATTCCTTGTTGGTTTAATTTACCCCGGGCCACCCCCATCCTACATTTGCACCTGCAGTTTCCCCTTCAGAATGACTTCCCGCCAACCCAAATTCTAGCACCCATAAAGATCAGTTCCGAAACAAGTTCCTCCGTGGCTAATCCCCTCCTGAAATCAACGCCACTTCCGCTGACCACAGCCTGTATTTTCATATGTTGTGGGCTCAGAGCAGATCTGGAGACCCCTTTGGAACCAGCTAGTCCAACCTTTGATTTTAAAGACAAGGAAATAAAGAGCTGATCAAGGGAAGGACCTGCTCAGCACACAGCAGGTACGCAATGAAGCCATGATAGTCCCGGGACCTTTCTGCTGCCTGGAGCACAGACTTGGGTCTTTCCAGCTCAGCCGCTTCCCTCTCTGAGCTTCAGTTTCCTCACCAATAAAATGAGGAGACTAATGCCCATTCCCTAGGGTTGCCGTGAGAATTAACTGAGTGACGGCTTTTGTAAACTGTAAGGCGCTGTGCACTTGTGAGTGCTGGATCTCCTGTTAGCTCCATGGAGACAGCAATAGGGGCATGGGAGCTCCCTGGGGAGGGGATCCGCTCCCGGCGTCAGGAAACACCCAGCAAGCAGTGGGCACTCAGAAGGCCAGGCTGGGAGGCCTGGAGCCAGCCCAGGAACGTGGCCCACAGACGGGAGCCAGAGCCGCTCAGGGCTCCAGGGCCCCGAGAGGGCCCTGGCTGGGATGCTGGGAGAAAGAGGAGGGTGGTGGGCCCATGATTTTAGCACAGCCGATGTGAGGTGGGGACACAGCGGCCAGAGAGGGCTGTGACCTCACACGGGTCTGGGCTCCAATCTCGGCCCCTCTGTGTTTTGTCTGGGCCACGCCCCACCTCGGGGCTGGTGTGAGGCAGAAAGGAAGCCCGGTGGTGACACAGCTGGCCTGGTGCCCAGCACACACCAGAATGTAGTTAGTGCACCTTCCCTCCCCCACCCCTTTCCGAGCAGTCGTCTCTATCATTTGATGGAGTCTCTCAGGAGAATTTACTTTCTCAAGTAAATAATCCGCGGGGTGAGTGTTGTTCTCCCCACTTTACGCAAGGGAAGACTGAGGCTCTAGAGGGGAAGGAATTTCCCTGGGTCATGGCAATGCTGAGTTGCAGAGATGGGACTCGAACCTGGGCCGGCCTGAATCCAGGGCCCAGGATCCCTCTTCTGCTCTGTAACGACTCACAGCTCTGTGTCAGGAGGGTCCTGGGAACAAGTCAAGGGACTCTGACCTGGGTCAGCTCCCTGGCTGTCGGCGGGGCCACCTCCAGGCTCAAGGAAGGGCAGGGCGCTGGGGGTGGCTGGTGCCTCAGTGAAATCCGCAG